GAAAAACATGTAACTTATATATATAAAGTGCGAAAAAAACTTAAATATAATCGAGAAAAAGAAACTTAGAGTGTTGCACTTTAGTATTTTACAGGTAGTACACTCGCATGGTGAACTACCTCTACACCAAAGATCATCAAAAGCCGTAGGGTCTCCTTGTAAGATAGCAATCATATCTAGTTAAACTCACCTTAAGTACAGACAAACCTAGACTTTACAGCAGTTAGGTTCCTGAGTGCATTCATAAATTGAAAATGTCCAAGTTAAAGCAATGTATTTTTTTTATGTATTCATTTATGTAATGTACTGTAGTCATTATCTATATATATAAAATTGCTTGTCCTGACTGACTCATTCACTGATTCATCATCGCCCAGAGCAAACCGCTGAACCTAAAGTGGTGAAATTTGGTACACANATTTAAAATATCGAAAATAAGTTTAATTATCCTCTTTTATCGCATATAAAGTAAATAATATTATAAAAAAAAAATTAAAGTATATAAGTGCGTTTTAATATATATTTACAGAAAAAAACATCATTTGCAGAAACAAAGTGTGAAATACTTTAACACACAGATGTAAAATTTATTACCTGGGAGAAAGCAGTGTCAGGTTCAAGGTCATACGACTCCCCGGTCTTTGTTTATATATATTTTTCTTATCGTCGCTCTCCTGACTGTTGTACGTCGACCCTTTTATTTACGTTATAATCAATTATTAGATATCAAATTTTCATTTTTTGGCCCCCCCTGACAGAAAGTATCATATTACAACAAGCAGTTAACGTGTAAAAAAAATTTTAACCCTTAACTGGTTTTATGGGGGCCGCGCGGCCCCACGCGTCATATTTTTATGATTTTCTAAAAATCTAAATGTTGTGCGCAGCTGCCATTTTATGTAATCTCATTACGTTGCGACTCTTAGCGAGTGCCAAATGTTCGGCCCTGTAGTACTTACAAGGATGGAGCTACGTACCTTCTGGGGGCTGCGCAGCCCCCACGATACCAGTTACGTTGGTTTTTTGTGGAAATGTGTTTTTATGTTTTTTTTATTTTTACAATTATTTTGCAGAGATATCTCAATCTTGCATCAAAACTTTAAAATGACTACCAAAGAATCATTTGAACTGCTAATAGATGATAATAATATACAAATTGCTAGATCAAGCCGAAATCTTCTGAAAAGAGTATGTTGTCATTTTGTGCTGGAAAAAAAGATGGTAAATATGTTACTAAGTGCAACAGTTGTTTGAAATTTGTTTGCAAAGTGCATAGTACTACAAAAATACTATGTGATAACTCTCAAGACTGAACTATGTAATTGTGTTAAAATGTTCCTGAGTCTTAAAAATAGAAGTGATTATATTACCTGTGGTTTTTTAACAAATGATAGTTAGAGGCTATAAGAGATACTTTTTTATAAGATTACTTTCTTAAGAATAAGAAAAAAAAAATATCTTTGGTAAAAACTTACAATAGGGTAGATTTTTGTTTTGTTAAAAAAAGCATACACCAAAAGTTGTAACAATTTTGTGATCTCTTGTAATAATTAAGTAAAGAAAATTATATAAATAAATAAAAGTTGACTATACTAAAGAAGGGTTCCATTTAGCATTTATGCACTTTTGAACTGTCACATTGTTAAACTTGCTCTCTAAAGGCAAATTTTGCTTGGGGGCTGCGCAGCCCCCATGATACCAGTTATGATTGTAAAATTTACGAAACCAGTTAAGGGTTAATGAAGATATTTATATTAATTATGAAAATATACTAGCATGTTTTTTAATTTCTGGAACCTAACCCTCCTTTTCGTATTAGTTCTTTGTTTTGTATAACACGGATTCACGTAACACGTCAATTTTTTTGGAACGTAACTACCGTGTTATATGAGGGTTACCTGTAGAGCAATTGTATTATTCGGTATAATAACTGCAGCCCAAGGGATGTCTCCATATCCTGTATCACTAGATGTCTGAAAGGAACACAGGATACTTTGCCTCCAGAGCAATATGGTTCCTGTACCATAATTATGTCATATTTTGTGATAATGCTGCAGAGGGTGGATATTGTGCTGATGGACCTTTGTAAATTGATTTGCAGAAAATTAATTCTTATAGAGTTATTCCCCATAATCTGTACATGAGATTATCAGAGTTTTGATGCGCTTATAAATTGGGCATTCTTTATCAAACGAACTGTGCTTACCTTTTCCCTCCTTATGTGTGTGGCAGTTTGTACAGGTCAGATGTTTGTTTCTGTCTGGGCAATTTCTAAAACGATGGTTGCCAGAACACTGGCTACATGTTTCTTTCTCTTCCTGGCATGTTTTACTAGTATGTCCAAACTTGCAACATTTGTAACATTGCAAGATGGAAAAATGCTCTTCAATCCCACAGTGGACCCACTCAACGTTGATCTTTCTTAATTTTGTGAGAATCTTTAACATGCCGGGCGACACATCTGCAATCCATGTTATCAAACTGCTGCCTCTTCCTTGAATAGCAAATCTCAGTTGAAATTCGTTATAAAATTGTATCCTTATGAAGTGGGTCTGTATAGCCTCATTTTGATCATATATATAATCACTAAGTTCCTCCTTCAATAAGTCTTTGGGTACTTGTTTTAGTAACACTTTCGGTCTTCGTTTAGTTGGCACAATTGTGTTAAGATTGGGTGCTCTTTTCTGTATTGCAGTCCTGATTACATTTAATTTGTCTAGGGTAGACACATCTATTGCAATACCTCCTTTACTGATTTTCCTCATCCCTCTAATCCCAACCTTTAGTTGTGTTGGATCAATCTTTTCTTTAATGTGCCCTTTGGTGCCTTCAGATCCGACATTATTGTCTTTAGAGTAGACCAATAGGGTATGATAAGAGGCCTTTTTAGTATTTTTATTGATGCCATTGCATTTCAGAACTTTGCTGTATAATAGCTTACCATCAGTCGATTCAGAAGTATTAGAGAGAGGAATTTTTGCATTAGCTTTAAGATCATTTATTTCCTGTTCTAATTGGTTATTAGCTTCGACAACTAGTTGAAGATCTTCATGTGTTGTCCAGCTAGAAGTAGTTTTAATTGTATATTTGATGTTATTAATTTCCTGTCCAATTTTCTATGTGGCCTCCACATGTTTTATATCTTCTTGTGTTGCTAAATTTGATATTTGTGCCTCTATATAAGACTTGGAAGGAAGGAGAGCCAGTCCTTCATTAATTGTTCTCTTAAGGCTAATTCAGCCATACTAATAATTTTAGCAATTTGTCCTGTAATATATTTTATATGGTCTTTGCCATTGAGGCGCCTGTGTGGGTTGTTATTAAAATATTCCCTTACCTCATCTATGATAAGGAAGGAATCATCCAAAAATCTTGTAATTCTATCCTGAGCCATACTATAGTGTATAATTATAATAAGATATAAATAATAAAATTTAAAGTAACAGCGTAAGATTAATAGTTATAAAACTTATAATATCGTAGTGGTAGAGTTCGGAGAAATATCTTTAATTCTCTTTCAATATAATAGTTCGATTGTCTCGAAAATAATTTTTGTGTCTTCCTCTTTGTACTACGATTCTACGATTCGAAAAAACTCTTTCTGTTGATATTTCGAAACTCTTCTCTGTGTTCTGGGACAAACAGGGCATTCTGCTTGTTGAGTTCCTTCTCATAGGTGAAACCATCAATGCGGAATGATACTGTGAAACATTGCAAAAACTTCACTGTGCAATTCAAAACAAAAGGCTTGGAAATCTCAGTGAAGGCATTGTGTTGCTTCACGACAACACACATCCCCATACTGCTGGTGTCACTCAAAATCTTATTCAACAATTTGGTTGGGAGCAGTTCGATCACCCGCCGTACAGCCCCAACCTCGCACCTGCAGACTACCATTTGTTCTTGAACTTGAAGTGCGATTTTGGAGGGAGGCACTTTGCCAGTGATGAACACACAACAACCAATGTTCAGCACTGGCTGTCTTCACTGGTGGCATCTTTCTTTGAAGAGGGTATAGACAAGTTGGTTTCCCGATATGACAAATGTCTGAACAATGGTGGTAACTATGTTGAAAAATAGTTTCCGACATGCTCTTTCATGTAAAAATAAATTTTGTTTTGAAAAAGATTTTTTATGCAAGTTTTTCCAAAATGGTACTTACTTTCCAGACATGCCTCGTATATTAAGTTAAATTATATACATATTATATATATATATGAAATTTGTTTG